AGGATTGAGGATTGAGGATTTAGGGGTTAGGGTTTGGGCTTGGTGCTTTGGATTTCGGAGGGGGGACAAGACAACTAGAACAATGAAAAATCAAATGCAGAATGGGCTGGAAACTGGGTTTGTTGGAGTGCAAGTGGGGATCGTAATGCAAGGGCCTAATTTGTTAGAATGGGGAGTTGGGGAGTTTTGTTTCATCAATATATCGCGGAGCTATGAGGAAAAAATTGGCAAGCATTCAGGCGACTACAATACTTTTTGGATGCTTGCAAAGCGCTGTAGGGATGTAAAGGTTAGGTGGGCCCCCACACCAATAATGTGACTATAAGGGATACTGGTAATTATACTCAGGTCCTCTTGAATATTCCTATTATACCACTGTTACAGGGTGGGGGGTCCACCTGATGTACAGAGTTCAGGGGCGCTCAAGCCCATTACACAGCCTGGGGTTGGGACCGCTTCAGTTTTGAAGCCTAGGGGTTCAGGGTATCAGGTGTAGGTTTTGAGGATTTGTGCTTCAGGCAAAGGGTTTTTGAGGTTTTTTTGCATCGAGTCGGAAGTGAAGCCTTTAAGCAAAACTTTCAGGATAAGCACACAACTCTGTAAGCTCTCAAAACAGAAGTGAATGAATCTTATGCCGTTGCTTCGGGAAGTCGGCAAAAGATACAGTCGTGGAGTCGGCCGACCCTGGCTGGGAAGAGCCCTATCAAACTAAGCTTTGAAAATGGGAATAAGCAGCGTGACGGGTTTACCGGGTAGGGATAAGAGCTCATTGCAATTCAAAACGAAGGCTTCAAGGGAGGCAATTTCTATGTCGAGGCGGTGTTGAGCCAGCACCTTGCGAAAACAAGCCGACTATTTTGGATGTCCGGGAATCCGAACATGGCCCAGTCTCCCAAGCCCAACTCCAAGAAAAAGTCCAAAATCACCCTAAACCCCGAAGCTCTAAAGCCGAACAGAGGAACTCTGGAAGTTCTCTAAACCGGAATCCTCCGATGTACCTTGAAAAAAGTTTAGGGGTTCGGGTTCTTGTTCTGAGCAAAAAAAAAAAAGAGCAGGAGTTTACGAAAGCGACCGCCTTGCGGGAACCTCCTCTGCAAGAATGCCAGCCTGAGTGCGAAGCGTTCAGGGACTTTTGAACCAATCCAGCAGTCAAGACTTAGGATTTATTACCATTACTTAGGTTTTGGGGGGGGTCATTTGGAGCTTACACTTTCCAAATTAAGGATATTAGGGTACCCTAAGTAATGGTAAGTTTATATGGGCTTGAGGGTTTAGGATTTCGGGGTTTCGGGGTTTAGGGTTTTCGGGTTAAGGCTCTAGGGATGAAGGTAAGGCTTTCCTGGCAGACTCGCCAAAGAATGGGCTTGGAGTTTATGTGTAACGCAAGGGCCTAAATGATTACCGGTATCATTCAGAGGTCAATTTGCGATACCGTACCTTTACAAGGAATCTAGAATTATGAAATTGGCTATTATCATTCTCTATTCTACACTACAGTTGCGGGAGATTCTTAAGGTTTAAAGGCTTCAGGTTTCACTGGCCGGCCAAGTTTTGACTACGGGCTTGGGAGCATTCGGCAAAGCTACCGCTTCCCCCCACTAACCTGCCCTCAAAACTACCCCAAGGTTCCCCAACTAACACAACGCTAAACCCTAAACCCCAAATTCTACCCTAAGGGGAATGTAGAATGGCAACAACGGAACCTATGAGGGAGGCTGTAGTCAAAGAGCAAAATGTTGGTGTGGAGTAGCTTCATACAGCTTGAGGGCTTGCGCTGCTGATACAAGCATGAAGATGTGGGGGTTCCCAACGTTGGGGGTCGCTTTCTGGGTGTCCAGTAGTAAGGACCATTAGATGTTGGGGGGGGGGGCCTATATTGGGGTCCCACACACTCGAAGAAAACTCAAAACTTGAACTTTAAGTGCTGAACTCTGCGCCGAACGTACTAATTCTACCCCCCAAACCCCCAAAACCCCTAACGTACAAATCCGGCAGTCTCATTCTATACCGGAAAAACAGAAAACACAGCCTCTAAACTCTAAAGCCTGGCCCCCCCCCTGCCTCAGACGACTCGACGAAGCGGTGAACGGTTGCGCGTTGCTCTTCGAGAGCTGTGGCCTGGCTCCAGGGAAGGTACACTCCCCCGAAGTAAATGATATAGGGATAATGGAAAATGAAATGGAAACTACTATATTATATTGGTTTTATATGGGTTATATGGGGATACTGGGAAACTACTATAACATGGAAAGCCCCTTTTAAAGGGACTGTGGTCTTCATGGTGCCCTTTTTGGGCGTCCGTGTTAGTTTCCGGGAGTGTAGTTGGGTCCTATTACGAGATAAGTTTTAAATGTAAATCAATGGTTTAGGGTGTGGGGGATAATTCAGAGGTCCCCAAACCCTAAACCCTAAACGGCCCCACACCTAATCCTATTTCTGGGATAGATTTAGAGACCCTATAGAACAATTGTCTGGCTGCATCAGGATTATATAGGGATTCTGGCCCGCGATGAGTAAATATTCCCAGGAGAAATACAGATGAAGGTCTAGGGTCTGAGGCTGATGGTGGAAGGCTTGTGTGAGGGGTTAGGCTTCGGAAGTCGAGTTTGGGCTTAAAACTTAGGTTTAGGATTAAAGGCTCAGGGTCCATGGAGCAGAGGCTAATTACAGTTCCTAGGCAGGCAGCGCCTCTCAAGAAAAAGTCAAGATATGCCTACGATACTGAGCTTACACTAACTAGAGGCAAGAGGCCTCCGCCGAGGACTCCTCCCATAAAGATGAGGCATATCATTAGCAGTCTTACCGTTATTATTCTTATTACTCTTTCAATTAGTACTCTTACTATCAGCATCTCAAAATTGCCGAGTTTCGGGTTTCAAGTTTTAGGATTTACGTCTAGGTAGGCATGAGCAGCATGTACTCCAGCTGGTTGAGCTGCCATTTACTGTTTGGCATACGTGATAGCTTCCATGAATAGGCGGCCCCGGTTAATCTCAATATACCATACCCTAAACTCCAAGCCCTAAGCCGTAAGCCTTAAACCCTAAACTCTAACAACCCTTGTGATGAGGACTTCCCCAAACTGGCCCCCAGTTCTTAGGCTGAAGGTTCCCTCAGCCAGGAAAACATCCCCGAAACCACAAACCCAAAACCTTGAACAGAAAACCCTGAACCGTGACCTTGCTACCCCCAAATGACTTCGGAGAAACGTGGCAGTTTGGCAGCCCCCGAGCGCATGGCACGCACGCCGCTCAGGGCGCGGCCTATCAGTTGCAGGATATCCCTTCAATCACATTAAAGCGGTTGCAGATGACGTAGTGCCATGTGGCTGTTAAGATACGTGAGGGGGAGCAGAAAGTAAATTCCTGTGGTGTTCCCCGTATATTCCCCGCATAGACCCTCTTTATAAGTACCTTAGGTCCATTTGAAGGGGGTCTATATCGGGATATAGAAAATGCATATAGCTTGGTGTTCAGGAATCTGGAATCCGGGGTCTAGGATTTTGAGTTTGGGGCTTAGGCTTCTGGATGTTGGGAGTTTATTTGGGTTACGGGTTGCATTGTCCAGGGATGAGGATTTTGTATGTTGGGGACTTGAGGTTCAAGGCTCAGACATGTAGCTCTCCGGTGAGCCCTTTAAACGGGCTACAGAGAAGATGTAGGGTACACAGGACAAATAGAGTTTAGGGTTCTTGTGAGGGAGATTGAAGGTTTCTGGCTGTGGGTCTCGGCTCGAGGGTTGGACTGTCAGATTGCGGCTCTGCTCTGCGTTTAGGGTTTAGGGTTTAGGGTTTAGGGTTTAGGGGCCTTCCGAGCCGTGGATAGGGTATCCCCGAATACCCTACCTTTGGCGATGAAGCGGCGGGAGCCACAGAGATGTACTCATCTTACAAAGTGAGGCCTCATCATATGCCCCAAAAACTGAATCCTCAAAGGGGCATCTGAAACTGGATTATTTAGTACACCCCTTTTTTGCATCCTCCCATACAACAAGGAACTCCACCACCAGAATAGGCCCCACAAAGACTTCCTCTGAAAATCAAGTAATGAGAAGGAGCCTGGGCTCCTCAACCTCTAACACCCTACACCCAGAACCCCAAGCCTCCAAAGTCTAAGCCTCTACAACCCTAAATGGTTTAGGGTTTAGGGTCTAGTTTCAGGGTTTAGGAAACTAAGCCCTACTCCCTAAGCCCGAAACTGAGCTCCAAACCGGACACCTCAAACAACTTGAACCCTACGGCCCTGATTGCCTTGCAGGCTCTCCAAGTCCTTCGTGTTGGCTTCGAGATGCCGATCCGCCTCCTTCAGTCAAGACAAAACTGATCACCTCCCCTAACAAGGCGTTTGTCCTGTTTTATAATGGTACTGGGCGGAGAAGGGGGTTATTATTAGTTGGAGGTGATCTGTTCTCAAGAATGGGCGTTGTTATGGGAAGCTACCTTAAGCCTAGACCCAAAATGGCAAACCCTAACTCGTGTTGCAGACGCCCTTCATGCTCAAGGTTCGATGCCTGCAAACGATAAGGGAGGACCCTGCACTTTTAGGAATCTCGTACCCTTCAATTAACATTAGGATAGTTAAAGTTTGCGCAGTCAGGTTGTGCTTCCAGGCCACCAAAGCTCTGAAACTTCAAATTTATTCAAACAACCACAGCAAAAATCCCCGCACCTAAGTGGGCGTGTCCAAGAACGGATGGTCCATGTTGGGGAGTCCCTATAACAAAGATTGAAATAATTTAGGACCCCTATCTCTTAAGACCCCAAATAAAGTTTTGCACAGTTTCGGATTTAGCTTTTCCGGCTCTTGGAACTCTGAAGCAGCAATCACCTTTGAAAGCTGTGAGTCAACCGTACTTTGAGGCTCATGAACAATTTACTCTGGATGAATTGCTATTCATGGCCTGAAGGTAAGGGAATGTGGGACTGTTTTCTATATCAGCCACCAGTGAGGTTGCTCTAATTTGCCCAAGGTGAATCTAAAATACAGCCTATGTTGCACGCATATCTCCATTTCAAAATATCCAGCCCCCAAGTATATGACCTTAAACCCCGAACCCTAAATTTCTTTTCAAGCGGCAGGATGGGCTCTTCGGAATGCGAAAGATAGATGCAATCTATACCCTGAACATGTTCTTTACAGCATATCTTATTGGCGAATACGGGAACATCTTATGTAGGGATTAGGGTTTAGGGTTTGGGGTTAGTAGGGAATAAGGGAATATATTACATAGGAAGTATATAAGGATTGTATTCCCTTATTATCAACCCCCAAAAGGATAAGTTTACATTCCTTACTATGTTTCACGATCATACGACTTAACGCAATTTCTCAAACGTGACCGAAGGAACCCTTGAGCCCAGGATTCCTACCAAATTCGGGCTTCAGGCCCCAGCATCCAGTCTTATGCCCCCAAACTTTACAAGTTAGTAGCTGCGTCTTCCGCTTCTGTTTTGGAACTTCTGCTGGATTGCTCCAACTGACAAGATTTCCGCTTCTAAGTGGCCCCAACCCATAAGCTCTAAACCCCAAACCCGACCCCAAGCACTGCGCCCTAAGCCCCAGACCCGAAACCATACCCCCAACCGTCAATCCTAGAACCACAACCAGCACTTTCCTCCCGCCTCCTCAATGCTGGCTGATGCCTCATTGGCAGTCTTGATCATCTTATCCTCGTCCTGGTGAACCCCAATGTAGGGATGGTTGGCTCACTTGACCTCCTCCCCTAAGTAAGCCGTAACTAGGCCTTATTAAGGGTCTCATTTGGGGAGTGCGAGTAGGGGGCGAGCATAGGATCCCACAACCCTAACTCATCAAGTTTTAAGGCTTGAGACCTAGAACTTAGGTCTTCCTTGGGGCCAGGCATGATCGAATCGAGGTCCCTAATCCCTAAAACCTAAACCTAATCCCAACCCAAAGCCCTCTAGGTTTAGGCTCGGAATCTGACTCTGGCAAGACTTGACTTCAGAGGCATAGAGGGCGTATGAAGATGGACAGAAATCTATCTATCTAGCCCCTCACCCTAACAAATAGCGTTGAGATAGTAATTGAGCGGGTGGAGAGGTGACTATGCAAGAACAACAAGGGCTCGTAACACTTTAAAGATGAAGTTGTTGAGCAAACTACATACGGCGTTTTGCTTTGATGGTTGAGCCAAATAAGATTATGCTGTTGATGCTAAGTTCCTTACACCCCGCAAATCGTGGTGTTGTAGTAAGCTAAGGCCTTGCAAGATTTTTAGTATGGCCGGTATTCATCTTACAAAATACTCCAACCAACAGAAAGGTGCAATCTTAAACTGCTTGAGGGAGTTGCGTATCCCACGGAAAGACCTACTCACACAGGCACTACACCGGAACAAGGGGTTGAAACAAGCTGCATTTGTTCCTTAAAGACTCTCACCACGCTTACTAAGCTCAGTGGGGCGTAAAGCAGATACCCAAGATACTCAAATCCTGAATCGGCAGCTATAGCACCAAAAACTACGAAAGGACCCATGCTGCAGCGCCTCCGAAACTACGCTGAGGGCATTAAAGTCTAGCTGCATGTGCCCCTGCCTCCACACACCTGCTCTGAACTTCCACAATGGAGTCCCAGCGTTGCTGCCTGAGCTCAAGAGGTTAGGGCTTAGACTTTAGGGTTCCGGGCTGCTACTTCAAAATTGGTGTGAGGTTTAGGGCTTGACGTTTGGACAGCCCTTTTCTTGTCAGGGAAGACTCCTGTAAACCCCAAGCCGTCATGCGTAGGCAAAGGGATTGTGGGAAACTCTGGTTCGGAGTAGATGCCCTGGGAAATCTTGCTAGGATTAGGGGTGTCTACCACTTGGGGTCTACCCTCCCCCAAACTAACATGGAAGCCCCATAGGGAGCCTTTATAGACTACTGTTACTTTCAAGAAGGAGCTTCCTAGTTCCATCTCAGTTTGAGGGAGGGCTTCAATCCACCAACCCACGACATCTCCTAAGCCCTGAGCCTCTACCCTAAGCTTTGAAACCCAAACTCCAAACCGCAAACCGTGCCCCTGGGCCTTAGCTACGAAGATCCTACCTAAACCCTTAGGTTTTTAGATAGATAAACCCTAAACGTCATGTAGGGACCTGAGGAATTTCAATAAAGCTTTGAGATGTAAACGTAAACCGCGGGGGTAAAGCAAAGGTCCAAGATTTTATCAGCGCTATGTAAACCCATATGTGTATACATATATATATATATAATTGTACATTTACGTGTCCATATCCTTTTCCATTCGGTTTCATATTCGATCTGATTCAGGGGGACTGTAACTGAGGGTTCCCTATGTCCACCCTTAATGGTCCCTTGGCAACCCAATACTGGCAGTAGCTCATATATACCCTTTAATCCCTGCGTAATCCCAGTTTTCATTGCATTGTCCACCATTTTTCCGGCTGATTCTCCGTTAAGAGGGGTAATATGCGTCCCTTGGCAAGCCTACTACTGACAGTAGTGATATGAGGTCCGCAGACCCTAAATCCCTAACCCCTAAACCCCTAAACCCTAAATCCCTAATCCCTAAATCCCTAAACTCTAAATCCCTAAATCCCTAAATCCCTAGATCCCTAAACCCTAAACCCTAAATCCCTAAACCCTAAACCCTAAATCCCTAATCCCTAAATCCCTAAACTCTAAATCCCTAAATCCCTAGATCCCTAAACCCTAAACCCTAAATCCCTAAATCCGTAAATCCCTAAACCCTAAATCCCTAAACCTAAATCCCCAAAATCCCTAAACCCCAAATCCC